ACAAACCAAACCATTTTTGCGAAATACACATTGCATTAACAAATTTCAGAATTAAGTTTAAAACAATTAGAGTTTAAAAATAAAAGTGCTATTTGCCTTTCAGGCATGTATACATTACTTCTAATGCTTTTATATCTCTTACCACGTTCCAAGTAAAGATTCACTAAATACAGCCTCACTAAAATCTAGTTGTCGACATTTGTTCTTTTCTGTTTTTTAACCAGTGATTTTGCAGTTTTGGTGAAGATTTGTTTGGTGATAAAGATTGCTGACTGGATGGTGGTTTTGATTTTGACTTCTTTTAATGTTTTTTCTGTATTTGACTTCACTACTTAGTTTTCAGGTGTATCTCTCCATCTAAAAAAGTATATTTCTTAATGCTAGATTAATTGATACTTCTTTATTATTGCAGCCCCTGAGCTTACACAGCTATGATTTCACCAAGCTTGTGAAGTGCAAATGTAAAAATACACAGCACAATGTATTTTTTTCCCCTAATGGCAGGCATTAGGAGTTATAGGTGTTGGGTACTACTAAGGTGGGAAGTGGTAATCACTATGAAAGGACCTAATAGGTTGCCCACTGTTGCCTCCCCTGAAGGAACAGACAATTTATATCTCTGCCTTCTCCGGGATTAGAACTTGAGCTGTTTGGTATGACAATCAGAATCATTATCCACTTTTCTCTCTGGGCAGCCTGGCATAATATGTGATAATAACAATAATACTTGCATGCTGTTCTCCAAGACTATTTTTTAATAATCTTTAAAGTGACTGTAACCAGCTTGTTCAAGTTTCTGCGTTTTATATACCTTCCAGCAGTCTAAATAAATCATTGATTCATATTGCACATGTTGAATAATTTTCTCCAATATTTGGCATCTGTATTCAAGATTAGAACAACAAAGCACATCCATCTTGCAGCATAATCCTGGAAAAATCCACTATTGTGGGAGTACTGTTATGTTGGATGAAAGAACATTTCATCGATTTCAAGTATTTTATTCAGACTACATATTTGCATCAGGTGTAAGGTGCATATTTCTCACATGTTAATTGTTCCAATTAATTGCAGCATTTTCACTCATATTAAGCTGTTTCTCTCACAATTTGATGAACATCAACTCCTATACCCAAGAATGCATAAATCTCATAGCAGCGATGAACGATATTCTGGAACCACTAAAAACCAATATGACTTCCTTTATTCTTTTACAATTTTTAACATTGCACCACCCAATTGTTTCATTATTAATATTTAGTTTCATGTTGTGGCCATTTTTGCTTACTCGTTTGTCAGGTGAAAGACTACTTTCTTGGAAAAATGATATGGCATCCCCCCTTATTATTTAGTAAATTTAAGATTGTTTGCCACATACTCTCAAAAAAGCAAGGAAGGTTTTTAACAGGGTTTGTAGCGGTCCTTATAAGTGCGTATAAGTCCGTATATTTGAAAATAAAATATAAAGTCTCTTATAGGTGCTTACTTTTTCTTTAAAGCCCTTATTTTTTTGTTTTAGTGCTTATTTTTTGCTTATAGTGCCTTTTTTTTTTTTTTTTTTTAATGAACGTGCTATTTTTCCCCGTACCAAAGCTGAAACTAAATAGACAACTTTTCTTCCTAATATGGAATGTCAGATGGTGAATCATACTCCCGCGAATAGCTTTTCTCCCTTTCTCTGCATTAATATAACACCACCTTTGGTATGCACGAAGAGTACAGACAGGTGCCCGTCGCTCTATTGGTCAAAGAATTGCGAAAGCAGTTGAAAATTCCGGTACATTCTGCATTCTTTTCCTCCCACCCAAATACTACACAGGTTTGAATTTCTATCAAGATCTTAATAATTTGCATTCTCGTTCCGCTTGGTCAGTTCATATTCGTGTTTATTATGATCGTTATGCTTATATTATGAGCATATGTATGAATGTTTATAATAACATAGTTGCAGTAACTGCTGAAGTATAGTAAACTTCCAAAAATGGTTGTGTTTTAACACATATTAGCTTAAGGAATAATATTCAGAATGGCTTAAATAAAGGGAAAGTAATCGAATAGTCAAAATAATTTAATTTTTTTTTTTTTTTTTCTAATACATTATACAGTACGAAGATTGGTAAGTTTTCTCCTTTCTCCGCAAAATCTAATATTTAAACTGTCGCTGTAAAACAAGCAACGGACTTTTTTTTTTGTCACTTTCCAATCTGGATTTGAATAGGACTAAAAGGTCTACCAACACAAGCGAAGAATGATTCTATTCCGGAAATTTAACGCCATCTGTTGAAAATTAGAATGAAAAGCACCCCAGTTATTTAGTTCTTTATTCTCCCAATACCGGCAGCTGTTGATACCGATTGCCTAATATCACATAGGGAAGAATTACGGTGCACGTGTTGCGCAATAATGTTTGCGATATTTCCCAGAGATAATTTTGATGTTCTGTCCGAGATTTGTTTATGAACACTTAAAAGAGTTTTACTCTGCTTGCTAAGCAGAATATTTTTCAGTTCCATTGGTTTATTTTTATATGATGCACATATCAAAATGTCAAAAGCATTTATTTAGCGGAAAAATCTAAAGAGGTTACTGTCTACCCCCCTCCGCTTCTCTTTTTCAAGTTACGCTTGACTGTCCGAATATTCGCCGATTTCCAAGTATGTGGGTTAGTTAAGCTTTTAACTGTTAAAGAATGACTGCATGAAGCAAATTTCTGTCTTCTGATTTCAGAAATGTTCCTCTTTTTTACTTAAATTACTTTGCTTGTAATATCTGTTAAGGGAAAACTGATATACAGTCAAAAGTCGTTAATCCGGACTCGTCGGGACTTCAGCGATTCCGGATTATAGATCATCAGTTTAAATCTGGTAAGATGGCATGCAGAAATTATAAAATTAAAAATAGGAAAACTTAATTTATGAAATAAAGAACAATTATGATGTAAAGGGTATATGAAAAAAGCTTAATATTTATTTGTTTACTTTATTAAACATTTCTTTCAATGTAAGTTGTTTAAGTTGCTTCGTTTTATGTGATAATACTTTCTCTTTAATTCTATAAACAGACATAATTTCTTGTTCAGTTACAAAGTTTCGCTGTTCAAGTCGTATAATTGCTGTGTCGAGAATACTGACTAATTTGTCAATCGAAATTTTTTCGTTTTCAATAACCTCTGTCACTTTCTTTGCTATCCGAAGCGAATTATAATGACAAGGAATTAGATTTAAATCATATCAAAGACTGAGTACATCGAGATGAAATGCTACATTTAGTAAGGAATTATAAGCCCAAATAAAATAAAAACATCTGCGTTGAAAATAAGGATAGTGCTGACAGATCAACTTCCAATTCATTGCATGGCGCGCGTTCCCCCCTTCCCGCCGCCGCCGCAGAGCAGCGTGAAATTGATAAACAGATTTCAGAATGATTAGAAAAACAAAAAATATGCCTTTATCCATTTTTTCAGCAATTCCACTTTTTGTTTAATAGACTTCGAAACATACTTTCGCTTTGTAGATCTTTTACATATTAGTAAATATATATCGGAAATTCTATTTGACATAATCGAAAGTTCAAGCTCACTTTTATAAAATTGCTCTATCAGTCTGCAAAAAATAAGCCGGATCCAATTCGAAGATTAAGGAACAATGCAATCTGCAACATTGACTGAATTAGATAATTCTAGCTTAGCTTATACCGTCCGTTATACATTAAACGCGCATACATAAACGTATTATGCGCACACGCATATTCGCAGCCGTAAAGGTCTTACGTGCATGCGTAAGCATCAACGCGACGCATGTGCAGAAAGTTTGTAGCTTTGAGGTCCGGATTATAGATCATTCCGGAATATGGGTGTCCGAATTAACGACTTTTGACTGTACAATGAAAATTTAGAAAATGTTCAGAATTTAGATTTAAATTATTTAAATATGAATATGAGTGGAAAAATAAATAGTATTTATTATTAGGTTCCAAGCGAATACAATAAATATGCCTTATTATTTATTTTCTCTATTTTGAAGTAAAATTTCATCATTAAATCTTGTAATATAGTTTAGTTCGCGCATAGTTTTTTCCCTCTCATTGTAAACTAGTTCTGTAAATTGAACTGTTATTTAAAAAAAAAAAAAAAAAAAAAAAAAAAAAAAAAAAAAGTGATTATTTTCTATGGTTGAGGTAATGCTGATTCTCTCTTAATAAATACTGCATTTCTCATATTTTAAATTACAAGTCTAATTTTTAAGGTTATGTATGCAGTTGTGTATAATGTAATTAGACAGGTGCTTATTTTTTTTCTTAAAATGTGCTTGAAAAGTGCTTATAGGTGCTTATGTTTTTAACTAAAATGTGGCTGTGAACCCTGTTTTAAAAAACCTGTGTGAATTCGAAAACTATAGCAAAAATGATGGCAAGATATCTCAGTTTACTAGTGATTCAATTTCGGGTGCTGCTATGACAAGGAAGTATTGATTAATTTTAAAAGAATTATTTCTTAATGCTTTTTTTTTTTTTTTTTCTCTTCTTTTTTTTTCCCTTTTTGAATAGCAAGACGTTAAGGTAGCTAAAATTGCCAAAAATGCCAGTTTTAATTTTTTAGTCACTTACATGAATGATTTGTAGCACTGTTGGATTGATCATGTATTTTTGTCAACATGTTATACAGCCAAATTAACTTGAATCTGTTGCAAAATTAAAATTTTATTTCATTTTTTATTTTGTAGAAAAGCCTGTTCAGATACAGCATTGAATTTTAAATATTTTAATTATTTTTATTTGTATAATGCATAAATAACATTTTGAATTTTAGCAATGCAGAATTTTTGTAATTATATAACATTTTTTTAATGAAAATTTAGATAAATTTCTGCCACTTTGATTAAACATTTTCCATATTGAACTAATCTATGTATTTTAAAATTATTTACTTTGTATATAATTAAGCATTCATTTACAAATGAGTTTGTGTATTGAGTAATGCATTGTATATTACTTTATTCCAGAAATGGAAGATTGTAGCGATTTAGATCGGCAGATTGAACAGTTGAGAAGATGTGAAATTATCAAAGAAAGTGAAGTAAAAGCTCTGTGTGCTAAAGCTCGAGAAATACTTGTAGAAGAAAGCAATGTGCAAAGGGTCGATTCTCCTGTTACTGTAAGTGTTTGCTAATCAACTGAATTTGTTATTTTTGCTTATATTGTGATGGATTTGTGGGTATCTTTCTAAATAGTTACTCATAAATAAGCAGGAAAAGTTATTTAATAATTTATTGTGATTAATAATAATGTACAGCAAAATAAGTAGTAGTAAATAACTCAAAAAGAAGCCAATCCTCTTTAAAGCATGAGAAATATTGAAAATATTAGTATCACTTACAGAGTAAACTAAGTTTATTATCACCTAATTTTTTTAAGGTTGTATATTTTTTTCTTTTTGAGATCACTATATGCTTATTCTCATTAATTTTTAGTGTCCAAATGCATACTTGCAAACATTATAAAGAAGAAAATATTTTCATTGAAATTACCATCTGTTGATTTCATATTAGTAATAATGATAAATACATAAATGTTTCTTTTTCTAGTTTTTGTGATGTCTTTGAAAAATGGGAATTTTCTTTTTCATTTCTTTTCTTTTTAAAAAAATTGTTTATTTGTCTAAAATTTGTTGCTTTAAGATACAGTAAAAACACTTGCTCAAAGTCACATGTGTTTTTTTATGTATTAAAAGTGTTAATAAGGTATGTCTGTGTATAAATCTAGGTTATCTTTCAGATGGTTTGATTGTACATATATATTTGCCTTATTTGTTTTCACTATTCATAAATTACATTGTTTCTCTAAAGCATTTTGGGTACTTGCGTATTATCGCAAACCATCTTAGTAGAAGTAGCCAAATTTTCAGGAAGTGCCAAAAACTCTAGGAACCATGTTCATAACCATTATTCTGGCAACCATGCTTATAACAATAATTTCAGTCAAGCAATGCTGCCATTTTCTTATATGTTCTGTTTTACTGTATTCCAAGCTCCAATGTTTTTTATACAAAAATCATATTTTTTCCCTTAGTTTTAAAATATGAGTTTGTGGAATTCGCCAGCAATGGAAGAAACTATGGTGAAATTTCGGTAGTAATAGAAAATTTTGCAAAATTTTGCTGAAATATTTTCTAAAGGGGACAGTGAGGAAATGAGTTTCCTAGATAGCCACTCTTGCTGAAGATTACATGAAGCCAAGTCTTCGCATTTCTTTGATTTTTTTTAAGTGAAAACAGATCACCGTGTACTTCATAATAATAATAATAATAATTAAAAAATGAGAGAGAGAGAGAAAGATTTGAAGAAGAATTTAAGTGTTTTATATTTTTAATGTGTGACATAATCCTTTTTTAATAATTCAGATTTGTATTTTAAATTGCTAAAGTATGTTTTATTTTCCTATGTTAATACAGTCAAAAGTCTTTAATCCGGACTCGTCAGGACTTTGGCGATTCCGGATTATCGATTTTTCCGGATTATACATCATCAGTTTAAATCTGGTAAAATGGCATGCAGAAATTATAAAATTTAAAATATGAAACCATAATTTATGAAATAAAGAACAATTATGATCTAAAGGGTATTAAAAAAAAAGCTTAATATTTATTTGTTTACTTTTTTTAAAACATTTTTCTTTCAATGTAAGTTGTTTTAAGTTGCTTCGTTTTTTTATGTGATAATTACATTCTCTTTAATTCTATAAACAGACATAATTTCTTGTTCAGTTACAAAGTTTCACTTTTCAAGTTGTATAATTGCTGTGTCGAGAATACCGACTAATTTGTCAGTCGAAATTTTTTCGTTTTCAATAACCTCTGTCACTTTCTTTGCTATCCGAAGCGAATTATAATGACGAGGAATGTGATTTAAATCATATCAAAGACGGAGTATATCGAGATGAAATACTACATTTAGTAAGGATTTATAAGCGAAATAAAATAAAAACATCTGCCCTGAAGATAAGGATAGTGCCGACAGATCAACTTCCAATTCATTGCCCGCCCCCGCGTTAAAGATAAACAAAGTTTAGATAAACAAAGTTTAGATAAACAAATGTTAAAGTTTAGATAAACAAAGGATATGCCTTTATCCATTTTTTGCAGCAATTCTACTTTTGTTTAATGGACTTCGAAACATGCTTTCGCTTTGTAGATCCTTTACATATTAGTAAATATATATCAGATATTCTATTTGACATAATCGAAAGTTCAAGCTTACTTTTATAAAATTGCTCTAACAGTCTGCAAGAAATAATAAGCCGAATCCAATTCGAAGATTAAGGAACAACGCAATCTGCAAAATTAACTGAATTAGATAATTTTAGCTTAGCTTATACCGTCCGTTATACACTAAACGCACATTCGTAAACATATTTTGCGCAAGCGCACGCGCATATTCGCAGCCGTAAAGGTCTTACGCGCATGCGTCAAAGTGACGCATGCGCAGAAAGTTTGTAGCTTTGAGGTCCGGATTATAGATCATTCCGGATTATGGGTGTCCAAATTAACGACTTTTGACTGTATTGTTTACCAAACTTTACTTGCACATCCTAAGTAACTTTTACATTTTCATCCGTAAAAAATCGCCAGATTGTGCAAAGATGGTTGTGATAGTACACAAGTACCTTATTTTGCTTTTTTTAATGTAATGTTATAGAAATCATTCTTATGAATTGAACATAATAGAAGCAAGCAGTGAAGTAAATTAAAAAAAAAAAAAAAAAACCAAGGTAACAAATTCTTTGTAAATCTAGAATTTGGGTCTAGAAAAGCTTTAGTAAATAGAGCTAGTGTGTGTGTTTTATTTAAATAAAAATTCAAAGTTTTTTATTTACTTTATTTCTTCTTATTGTTATTTTGATAAATTAGGTTTGTGGTGATATTCATGGACAGTTCTATGATTTGAAAGAGCTTTTTAAAGTTGGTGGAGATGTTCCAGACACAAATTACCTTTTCATGGGCGATTTTGTTGATCGAGGCTTCTACAGTGTTGAAACATTTTTATTACTTCTGGCATTAAAAGTAAGTTTGATTTGTTCTGCTAAGTGATGATCAATTAAAGTTGTAATAGTCCTTATTTTCTCCTCTCTGTTCTAAAAATAGTAATTCCTTTTTCTGCGCTGTGTCATTTCTAGATTAATTGATCTTATAGGATGTTTCAGAAACTGAACTCAAAATTTTGAGAACTGAAACTTTCTCTTGGTGAACCTCCATCTTGGATAATTGTATACTTTCACTTCTGCCTCCATTGCCTGCGCTGAGACGCTACTTCGCTTGCTAATCCTCTGCCAGCTATTATCCGTTATTCTAAAAATATCTGTATACAATTGTAGGCTGCATAATGCACTTACAATGTGAAAGGAAAAAGAATATGTGTCCTCAGAATTAATTATTCAAGAATGAAATTATGTGCAGAATTTATGGCTGTGTCTGTCTTAGAGTCATTTTTCTAACTACACAGTACAGCCTCTCCAAGTTATAATATGGAGAACCATCGCTAGTCTATTGCAGCTTTCTCTTAGCCATCTTGTTACACATTAATACAGGGTGTTTCATAGATCATTGGACAAACTTGGAGGGGTGGTGGAGCGTACTAAAACATTAATTTTTTTATAGGAATGTAGGGTCTAAAATGACGGGTTAAGGGAAGAACGCAAAAAAAAATGACACAAGAGAAAAATGTATTTATGTACAAAATCAACGTGAAGTGCTTCTTTGTAGCAATGCAGTATTCACAATAAATGTTCAAAATTGCGACCACCAGCAGTAATACATGCTTGATAACGTCACAGAAGGGATTGACGAACATTTTGAAAAACGACAGGCATTTCGCGCATGCTTGCAGCCGCAATGGATAGTTGTGCAACGAGGTCCTCCAGTGAGTCAACGGGAGGCTCGTAAATGATGCTTTTCAGATGGCCCCATAAAAAAAATCCAAGCTGGGTAAATCTGGCGAATGGGGTGGCCATCAAAGGTGTCCATCGCAGGCCAATCCATCAGCCTGGAAATGTCCCATCCAAGTAATTGCAGACCTGTACTTGGTTATGGGCTGTAGCACCGTCATGGTGGAACGACATGCAAACATGAACAACAGCCGTAACATCCTGTAGCAATTCCGGTAGCACCTCTTGCAGAAAAATATGATAACATAAGCCATTTGTACGTGCAGGTAAGAAGTATGGGCCTAGGAGGTAGTCGTTAACAATACCCGCCCACACATTAACGGAGAAGCGGGTTTGGAATGCATGTGGACGTGTGCCGTGTGGATTATGAGTTGCCCACATGTGCATGCTGTGGCTATTGAAGATGCCGTCCTGTGAGAAAGTTGCCTCGTCTGTGAATAGCACATCTGATGGGAAATCCGCCTGCTCCGCACACTGCTGCAAGAACCAATGACAGAAATGAACTCGAAGAGGGTAATCTGTCTCTTGCAAGGCTTGGATTCTCTGCAAATGGTATGGGTGCAAACCATTTTCATGCAATATTCTCCAAATGGTGGAATGACTCAGCTGCAGACGACGTGCAATAGCTTGGATTCTCTGCAAATGGTATGGGTGCAAACCATTTTCATGCAATAATCTCCAAACGGTGGAATATCTCAGCTGCAGACGACGTGCAATAGCTCTTGTACTTGTCTGATGTGATTCATGCACAATGTTCAAGAGGGATTCTTCAATGCGAGGTTGTCTTGCACTTCTTCTTCCACTCCTAGTGTCATAGGTGGCTTCAAATGACCCATTTTCACACAGAGACCAATGCAACCTCTGTATCATTGCGTGCTTCGGCGTACGCCTGTTCGGAAACCGTTCCTGGTACAACCGTAGCGCTGCTGTGCAGTTCCCATTAGCAGCACCGTACATGAGATGTCAGCTTTCCCCCTGTGGGTACTATATTGCTGCAAAGAAGCACTTTGTGTTGATTTTGTACATAAACACATTTTTCTCTTGTGCCGTTTTTTTTGCGTTCCTGCCTTAACTTGTCACTTTACACCCTACATTCCTATACAAAAAAATTCATGTTTTAGTACGCTCCACCACCCCTCCAAGTTTGTCCCATGATCTATAAAACACCCTGTGATGTGCATATATATATATGTCTATTTAATCTTAAAACCTTTGAAAAATCTTAAGATTACTGCATGAAAGAGTAAAGTGAAATTATAGATTTCTAATGCAGGAACCAATCTATATAGATTTAAATAACTATAGGACTTAAAAATAATCTATATGGACCACTTTTTGGTATTTTCATATGGTGTGAAGTGCTGTTGAGACAGGGCATGCATCATCAATCGAAACAAGTACTAATCAGAAGGAGCAATGTCTGGTGAAAACAGCAGGAGAAGGAAAACTTCTCATTTGAGTCTCTCTGAGTAGGATTTGACCTGCGCCGCAGCATCTGGATAAGCATTATACTTGACACCAAGTTGATTCTACTATATATACATGGTTGGGTTTTCTTTTTCAGAAAGTTTCTATAATATCAGTAAAATTATATATATATAAAACAAACGAACAGTGAACGGATCTGTTTTTTTGTAATTTAAAATACCATTCTTGTATATTTTTTAAATATAAATATATTTGATATTTGATATTTTTTCCTAAATTTCCATTAGCTATATTATTCTCTACTTATTTTTAACTAAATTCATGATTTCATTAATGAAATGATATTAACCCCTCGGGTACATTTGACATCTGAGACATGTCATTTACTTTTTTCCTCCTAGGAGTGGTTGACGTGTCTAAGACGTCAAACCAAAAATTAAACTCTTGGGTACATTTGACATCTGAGAGATGACATTCACTTGTTTTCCCTAGGAGCGGATGACATGTCTAAAACGTTATTTGAGGTTAGGCACAATTCTGTTCATTTCATTGTAGCTTGTATCAGTCATAATAGAAGAGTCAATTACAGTATTTCGGTGAACATTATTTGCGATACACTGCCCATTATGTCAAAAACAAGGAATATATTTTATAATAGTGATAGCGAAAGTGACTTTGAGAAATCTAAAGAAGAATTGTTTAGTGATCCTGAAATTGACAATTACAATGAAATACAAAGCGAAGGTGATGAAGATGATATTGAACTAGAAAATGATGACAATTGTAATATAATATCAAGGTTTCGAAGATGCACAAGACGTCTATCGAGCAGTGATAGTGAATCTTCTCGTGAACCAGTATCAGAGGAATGGATTTGGGAAGAAGAAGAAAATGTAGCCGATATAAAAAAAGTTTTTCTGAAATATGTGCAATTAATCCTTTGAACCTGCGTAGAGTAGATAGTAATCCTACGCCTTTTAGATGTTTGGGAAGAAGTCTTGAATGAAGGTTTTTGGGACACTATAGTAGAAGAGACGAATAGATATGCCAGACAAGGAATAGAAAAAGAAGGTTGTGGGAAAAAAAAAAAAAAAAAAAAAAAAAGGTGGTTTCCTGTAAGTTTTGATGAAATGAAAGCTTATATTGCATTATGCATCTTGATGTCGCACATGAAGAAGCCAAAAATGCATATGTATTGCTCAAAACGATATGCAATAAGTACTCCAATTTTTGCCAGCAATATGGCACTCGATAGGCTTTTGATATTTCAAGCTTTCTACATTTTACGGATAATGAAAAGGAAAATAAAGATAACAGAATAAGAAAGATTAGAAATATAGTGGATTTACCTAAATACTAAATTTTGTTACATTTATACTCCTAAAGTAAAGTAGCTATTGATGAATCGCGACCAAAAATTATATCCGTTCCACATGCAAAAATTTTCTCAAATAAATCTGTACCCAAGGGGTTAACAAACTGATATGATGCTTGTAAATTATGAAAAAGTATGTGTTAACCTAAGAAAAGCATATTTTAAGTTTTATGACTGCTGAGGATTTTTTGATATTAATTTTGACATTGATTTTTGTTGATATTAATTTTTAATTTTTGTTTCGATTACTGCAAATTTTGTCACTAAAATAGAAATGTTTCTATAATTGTTGCAAACCTCAGTTTAGTCCCATCATCACAATTCCAATGAGACAGTTACAAAATTAGAACACAAAATTATTTTATAATAGTAGTACATATGAAGTTTGCTTCTGGATAGTATGGTCCCATTATTTAAATACCTTAAAAATTAAGTTAAATTCTCTGAAAATGAAATGTGCATGTTTGATCATTATTTTCTTATTATCTACATTCTGTAAATTCCTTCAAACATATTTGCCCACAGAGGGCATTTTATTTTTTTATTAAAAAACTGTTGAAGACGAGTAAAAAACAATTTCATTGGGGGGGGGGGAATTTTTCAGAAATATTTCGCAATTCTGCTATGCTTTTCTGTCAACACCAACAGCAGGGTAATTGCTGCTGAAATCTTTGATAATAATTCCTGAATCATATAGAAATGGGACGAACTGTTTTACTCATTACCTCCTACGCTATCATCTATCAGAAGTCAAATGAGGCGTCCTAACTATGTGATGGGTGAAAACTTCTGAATCATTGTAGGAAAGTGGACCGAGGAAAAATTCTTACCCAAAGGGCTATTGCTTCTGTATTACTCGAAAACTTCAGTTTCAACTTGGGTAAAGCAAAGAAAGTAAAAGTTCAGTGTACATTCGTTAGGAAGTTAATTTTCACTTAATTAAATAAAAATATTTCAAGAAGGGGTTTATGTATATATTATAAAGTATCTGAGATAAACTTAGTAAATCAGCCAGTCTGCATATTCTTACATTTTACATGTGTAAAACAATGGCTGTATTTGCTGTCTTGATTTCTACCAGGTGCTGATTTATCTAGTTTTTCTTGATTTACTTTGTTTATGTACGAAAGCATTTTATTTTTCAAGTTAGATTGTAAAACCCACAAGATTTAATAATTTTATAATATAATTACTATCACCAATAGTACATTTGTAAGATAATACTAATCATAGTTTGATTAGACTAGCTTTTAAGATAATATACGATTATTTCATTCCTCTTTACTTCTATCATAGTTTAAGTTCATGTTTAATATTCCATTATTTCATTTTTTCCCCTACTGTTTCTACCCATTCCACGTTCATGTTTAGGTCTGTTCAAAAAAGAGTAATATAAATAAGTTGATACTTTGTAAAAAATATAGGCAAGGGTCATTTCTTTTACTCCCATATGCTACTGAGTTGTGATAGTAACTACATCAAGTCAAATATTTAAGAATCTGATGAGCAAAAGCATAGCCAAATTTTCAACTATTTCTTTTTTCCAGGCTGACGTAAAAAGATTGGGTGGAAACAGTTCTGTATCTCCCATTTTATTGGGTCGTTTGACGAAATTCAACCTGGGTTTTTCATGTCTCGCAAGCGCGACTTAGGGTATGTATTAGATTTATATATAGCATTGTTTTAATATCGGTATATCGACACAAAATTGAGCTTTTTCTGAAATGACATGCCAATTTTTTTCCATGTTTCGATTCTACGACTCATTATGCCAAACTGCCAAGTTTTGTGAAAATCGTACTAGTCCTTTTTTTAAAAATTAGCTGTCAAAATTTTAGCTCCTCAATGTTAATTGAATTTAATATGTATTTATTAATCTCTCTTTTTTTAATTAAACTTACTTGATTCTCTCTTCCAGAATTCGCAGATTTTTGTATTATTTATTTTAAAAATTTGTGTTTTTAAATATTTTTGTAAATTTTTCAAAAATATTTTTTATTATAACTTATAAAATTTTTAACCTCCTCTTAAAGTAGATGTATTTCTAAGCATATCTGTAAAAAATTAGAGTTTTTTTATTCAAAATTTCGTAGGATATATGTGAATTTTCATATTGCCATGTTTTGAAATTTGTCATATTTGTTATACTCGGTAGTAATGCCAAACGTGGTGTATGCACTTTGTTAAAATTATTTGAAATAACGAGTGATGACTTTTTTCCACTCGTTTACACTGTAAAAAAGAAAAGGAAAATAGGTTGCTATAAATTAAGAAGTTCGCCAAGTGAATTTTCTTGGCACAAACTGAAATAAGTCAAGATAAATTTTAAAATTTTGCACCAAATTTTATAAAATTTAATATTTAAGCATAATTTGAGTCGTAGAATCGAAATATGGAAAAAAAATTGGCATGCCATTTCAGAAAAAGCCCGATTTTGTATCAAAATACCTATATTAGAACATTGCTATATATAAATCTAATATATATCCTAAGTCGCACTTTCCAGACATGAAAAACACAATTTGAATTTCGTCAATCAGCTCTGTAGAACGGGAGGTATAGAAATGTTTTTTCTTTTCTTTTCTTTTTTTTTTTTTTTTTTTTTTTTTTTTTTTTTGTGCAGTGTATGTTCAACACGACTGTCTACAATGCCCTCAGTTTAGAAGCAGTCATATACAAGATCAAAAGGGCCATCTGCAGTGTTGTAAAACTGTGTGAAACAGAACTTATGATTTCTGCAAAAAAATTATTCAGGCCATGGCAATATTAGACTTTGTGATTGCAAATGTGTTACTGTGTTATAATTGTGTATGAATTGTTGGCACTGGAATATTGCAGTCATTCTTTTGAGGAATTTTGCATGGTACTTCGTTGTCCATGGAATTGAAGAATATATTAATATGGAAAGCAGAAATCTCTATATCATTCAAAAAGAATGCTTTCCGTAAAGATTTGCTTAACATATTGTTTCACTGAACCAAACCCTTTTGATTTTGGAGATAAACTTACAACGTGTATCTTTACATCTGTTTCAGTGATGCATTCAGTGCTGTTAATTATTTTTTTTCATACAAGAAATACTGTTTTTTAGCTTTAACATAGATAAGATTAAAAATTTTTTAGGTTAGGGACTATTTCCAAAGATTTGTAGCTGCCAAGATATCCTAATTTAATTCCATCTGATTGCTGTAGCAGTCTGTGGCTACGCAGTAAGAACACAGTACACTAGTAATATAAATGAGTTGGAAGTTTTCTGGGTTTTTTGCATGTGTAACATTAATGTGACCTAGTTTCTCTTAGAAAGTTCTCTATGAAGATCCATTCCTGTAGACAGTGCTACCACCCAGCCAATGTAATAACTAATGGTACTGACTGCCACACCAATGGGCTAAGGTATGAAAAGGCTTGGGTATTTGTAAGCATATAGTGTCTGTGAAGCAAGAGGACTTTCGAACTACAGGATGAGCTGGTAGTCTTCTCAGGAGGTTAGTGAAAGGAGAAGAGGGTTAGGATAACCTCGTACACTTCCCCCACCCAAATATTCTTCAAATATTAGAATTATTGTAATTTTAAACTTAGGTTAATTATTCTCGATCTCATTTATTAAATATATTATCAATTTACAAGCAGTTGCAAACTTAATTTTTTAAAGTAAATGATAAATGAAGTTAATGATTTCAAATAACTTTTTTTTCCCCCTTTATAGGTAAGGTACCCTGATCGCATAACTTTGATCCGTGGAAATCATGAAAGTCGACAAATCACTCAGGTGTATGGATTCTATGATGAATGTCTGAGGAAATATGGATCTGTTACTGTTTGGAGATACTGCACAGAAATTTTTGATTATTTAAGTTTGTCTGCAGTAATTGATGGAAGGGTAATTAATCATCCAGGCATCTTTTCTCTAGAAATAATTGTTTTCGAATATGTATAAACCTAGTGAATTGTGTGTTTACGATATGGCTGTGTTTCATTAAAGAAAACACTAATACTCCTGGTTTTTGAGTCGCCTTGCTATGTGCATCATGTGAGGAAAACTGATTAATTATAAAAATGTGTATTAACAAAGCAGATATAATAAAATAGCATTATATTATTAATTATTATGAAAAATTACATTAATTTTTTATTGGAATTTATATTCTAGAAAAGTATTTACCGAATTTTTGTAGAAAAATGAGGAATGAAGGGGAAAATTCCTCTTAACCCTTTGATGCGCGCGATATTATTTTTATAATTTTTTTATCTAAAAACTCTGGAAATTGAATACTATGATCCTGGAAACAAATAATATATGAATTAAAAAAATCTACTCTTGCCCATTGTTTTGTGGGTGGTGGTCGCACTGTGAAACCACCGCGCGTCTAGGACTTTGAAACTTACTTAGGTAGTAGGGGGGGAAAACTTACCTTTCTGCTTGGGCGTTTCCAATAAATGGCAAAATTTACGAATTAAAAAAAAATGCATGTAGGAATTGCATAATATATATATTTTTACATTATTTTACAAAGTAAATAGTCAGAAAAAATTAATAAACATTTATGTAATTTTTCTATAGCAGTGAAAGTATAAGAACCTACATAATAAGGAAGTTTGGCTACGCGGATTAAAATATAAGGATAAAAAAAAAAGACTTCTTTTTTTTTTTTACTTTTAAAGAACAAATATTTTTTGTGACACTGTTCAAAGCATGTTTTGTCTTTTTGGTACATGCATAGACCCACATTGCACGTTTTGCACATGTATCTTCTTCTATGAGGTTTCTTCCTTGTGCTACAAAATGTACACTGATTGGATCTAAATTTCACTGGTATGTGTCCAGCATTATTTAGTTTCTTTTCATCTGGCACATGAAATTTGTCGTTTTTTTATGTTAATGGTGGGGGGGGGGCTTAGTCTTCTTGGCTTTGGTACAGATCATTCATTTCCCATTTATACTTATTTTATTCATATTTTGTTCCAAAATATTATTAAATATTTTCTGAATTTAATTTAAATAAAACTTTACGCGATTTCTATTTTTAATTACAGCAAAGTATATTTACATTAAATTTAAACCACAGGACATAATTTATAAAATCACAATATTAGCTTGGGGAGCAAGTGTGTTGAGGTCTCTGGAAAAGAAAGACCTTTTTTACTTGGCAGGTGTATGTATTGTTTAGTAATAAAATAACTCTGTGGTTTCATAATCCCTTATCTATATCTGGGTAAAAATAAACATATTCCTATTTGAGAAGCAAGCAAACACCATTGTGAAAAGCAGTGGTTTCAAGGTGCGACCACCGAGCCTCTAGAGGATTATGAGCATTGTGATACAATGCTCTAGTGGTGCAGTGGTCGCGCCCTGAAACCACAAAGCAAATGTCATACATATAGAAAGTTTATATATATATATATATGCAATTTAATTATTGCTATTTTTTGTTGTTTATGATAGAAATCATGATGTGCGATGAATAACTTTTGAAATTTAAAGTTGTTTATATTAATAAAAGGAAGTTATTTTGTCTCATTGAAAACGAATTTTAAAAGGCATCCGATTTGAAGTATTAAGAACTAAAGCATGTATGATTCTGCAGTCATTTTGTGTTATTTAGAGGTAAAAGATCAGTAATCAGTTGATTTTCACTCAAAAATTTCTGAAGGAAGAGGAGAAAAAAATTCGAAATTTGGTGGTTTTAGGGCACGACCACCGCGCGTCAAAGGGTTAAAGCGGTACAGTAATGAAGTATCTATGCTTTGAATATTGTTTTAATTATGGACAAGAATTTTAGATTAAAGATGTTGTATTCTGGTTAACGTTTTTTTCTTTGGGTATGTTGTGACAAGTTAATTGTAGAGAATGTATTGTATTCTGTTACAATCATTGGCATATCTGGTGCAAGATCCAGATACTCTTATTAAATAGTTTCTAAATCTTAAATGACATGGATTGTTCAGTGTGTCAAGTTTAAAATATTTTTAATGTTTCTTAGATCAAGGTATAACTGCAGAATTTTTATACTTGCATTATGTGTGATAATATTGTGGGAAAAAGAGTGGAAAATTCATTCCATATGTGGAAAACTTCTAAAAAAGAAAATTTAATTTCTCAAAAAGTATTAATTAGAGATATAATTTCCCAGAGTGGGTACTTATATATTAGCTTTGCCACCTTGGTGCAGTTTGGCAATTTTTTACAGTAGAAAAAGTGATTTGGCGAACTTTTTCATTGTAACTTAACAATGGACATGGTTACTCAAAGAACTATTAGGTGCATGGTTGCCAGAGTTTGGAGAGTTCTGGTAAGGTGGTTACGATTATACATAAATACTGTAGAATGTTGTATCTGTTTTGCTAGCTAATTATTTTGCATCAAAATACTTATCTTTAAGGTATTTTTCTGTAATGCACATTTATCTGCAGCCAGAGCAAAGTAATTGCTGTTATACTCAGGTAACTTTGTGAAGGAATATTTTCTGCAAATATTTTGCATTTCCTATGTTCATATGTATTTCTTTTTCTGGGAAAAATTATTACTAAAAATTATTACTAAATAGCTTTAGTACATCTTTCTTTTCGTTTTTAATTTTTAGATGCTTGAAGAGCATTAACATTCATAAGCTAATTTGATAAGTTAGATCAGTCATTTCATGAATTAAGCTGGTTATAATTTTCAGATGTAACCAGTATCTTAATAAGTATCCATCATGATATCAGCAGAAGATATCACTCGGATGTTTATGTTTTGAGAGACCTTTTGTCAGAGTATGGGGATTTTACTCTTTTTTTTCCAAACTTTGGTCAAGAATAGTTCATGTTCTTTTCCTTTGATGGAAAAGAAATAATTATTAAACCATTCATAAAATTATCAATATCAGAAGGGGAAAAAGTGTCATTTATTTTAAACAAGTTTGCATTTGTGTTGCATCAAATTTTTCATAAATCTTCTGGAAGTGAAAGTTTGTCTGTTGACACAAGCTGTTAAATTTAATTAAATTATAGTCTTTGATAATAAAGACCTGTACTGTGTTTTCAAATTTCATATACTTAAATATTAACCATCTGACTGCTAATTTTTTTTTACCAAAATAGTTTCAAAAATTGCATATTTTTAAAATTGTGCACTTCAAATCTTTGTATATTTGAGAATTAACGTATGTAGCACATATTTGTAACTGTGATTTTTTTTTTAATATGGATCTTTAATTTGATAAAATCAGTTTTAAGAAGAATGATATGAAGACAAAAATTCTAAAAAATAATCTTGATTAAATTACTATTTACTTTATAGAACACAAAGTATGCATATTTAATACAAATAGTAAATATTTGCATAAATTATACTAGAAATTAAGTTTAGTGTGGTAAATTTCAAAACAGGGTTCCAGGCGATGTCTTACTTCATATTCTTTGCACTGAAGTTTCTTTGTTAATTTTTTTGGCCAGTTGCAGTTTTTTTTTGGGGGGGGGCAATAAACGGCACGTTGCCTGCTAGGCTTTTTGTGCCACATATATCTATGCAAATATGAAAATTTAGACAAGCATAATGCTGTCTGTTGACCAAAACATGACTCTTTAATATTGTAGAAAATGCATTAACAGTTAAACAGGGAAAAGTGAGACATGCATTTAAAGAGAGGAAAATTGCAAGGTCTGCAAAAAATGCTAAATGAGCAAATTTTGTTACTTTCACATTGCCTGTAGAAAATGCTAGATAAGCAGTCAGAGGATTTTTATTCTAAATGTAAATATTTTAAACGAAAATGTATTATGAACAGTTTCAAAGGAGAATCTGCAGTAGATCTGTTAGTAGAATGCCAGAGTACTGCATACTTCTCATGTTTAAAAACTTATGTTTTTGCATGTTTGATTTGAGATTGCAGTGCATATTTTAAGAAGATAATTTCTAATAATGCTGTCACTTTTTTTTTGCATTTTTTTGTGTTAGTTTATACTAGTTGCCATCTGTCCAATGTATGTTATGCCATATTTGCAACTATGTTATATAAATTTAAATTTCCATTTATTTGAGTTTTATTAACTTATTTTATTGAATGATGGAAAGAATATCTTCAGTTGCATATTTTTTAGCATTTTAAATCAGTTTTAATAATTTTTAAGTCCTTATATTTGAAAATAAAATATAAAGGCCCTTATAGGTGCTTACTTTTTCTTTAAAGCCCTTATTTTTTTGTTTTTGTGCTTATTTTTTTACTTTTAGTGCTTTTTTTTTTTTTTTAATGAACGTGCATTTTTCACCCATACCAAAGCCGAAAGTAAATAAACAACTTTTCTTCCTTATATGGAACGTCAGGTGAAGAATCATACTCTCAGAAATAGCTTTTCCCCCTTTCTCTGCATTAATGTTACCTTTGGTGCACGTCGTTCTATTGGTCAAAGAATTGCGAAATGTTAGAAAATTCCTGTGCATTCCGTATTCTTTTGCTCATACCCAAATACTACACACGTTTGAATTTCTATCAAGATTTTAATAATTTGCATTCTCGTTCCGTGGGGTCAGTTCATATTCACATTTTGTGTGATCGTTATGCTTATATTATGAGCATATGTATGGATATTTATGATAATATAGTTGCAGTAACTGCTGAAGTATAGATAAACTTCCAAAAATGGATAAGTGTGTTTTAACACAGATTAGTTTTCTAAGGAATAATATTCGGAATGGCCTAAATAAAGGTAAAGTAATTGGATAGTCAAAATAATATTTTTTTTTTTCGCCAATACAGTTGGGAAGTTCTCCCCTTTCTCCACAAAATCTCGAATGTTGAAACCGTTACAGTTTGCTCAAAACAAGCAACGAACTTTTTTTTTGTCACTTTCCAATATGGATTGAATAGGACTAAAAGATCTGCGGTCTACTAACCCAAGCGAAGAATGATTCTGTTCCGGGAATTTAATGCAGTCTGTCAAAATTAGAATGAAAAACACTTCAGAAAGAAAGTCTCTTTCTTTTTCTTTATTTAGTTCTTTATTCACCGAATATTGGGAGCTGTTGATTCCGATTACATAATATCACGTATGGAAGAATTATGGCCCACATATTGTGCAATAATGTTTGTGATATTTTGCAGAGATAATTAATTTTGATGTTCAATCTGAGATTTATTTATGAACACTTAGGAGTTTTACTGTGTTTGCTAAGCAGAATCTTTTTCAATTCCATTGGTCTATTTTTATGATTCACATATTGAAATGTCTAAAGCATTTATTTAGCCAAAAAATCTAAAGAACGGCTGCAATCTACCCCTTATCCCAATTCGATCCTCTTTTTCCAGTTACGCTCGACTATCCAGAATATTCGAAAGTTTCCGAGTATGCAGGTTAGTTAAGCTTTTATTGTTAAAGGATGATTGCATGAAGCAATTTCCATCTTCTGATTTCAGAAATGTTCCTCTTCTTTACTTAAATTACTTTGCTTGCAATATCTGTTAAGGGAAAACTGTTATACAATGAAAATTTAGAAAATGTTCAGAATTTTGATTTAAGTTAAATTATTTAAATATTAATATGAGTAGAAAAATAAATTGTATTTATTATTAGGTGCCAAGCGAATACAATAAATATGGCTTATTACTATTTATTTTCTCTATTTTGAACTGAAATTTCATCATTAAATCTTGTAATATAGTTTAGTTCTACATAGTTTGTTTTTCTTTTATTGTAAACACATTCTGTAAATTGAACTGTTGTTTAAAATTTAAAAAGTTTTCCGTGGTTGAGGTAATTCTCTGTTAATAAATACTGCATTTTTCATATTTTAAATTTTTAAATTACAAGTCTAATTTTTAAGGTAATGCAGTTGTGTATAATGTAATTTGACTGGTGCTTATTTTTTTTTTTCTTAAAATGTGCTTAAAAAGTGCTTATTTTTTTAGCTAAAATGTGGCTATGAACCCTGAGAAGGTTTGAAAGTAAATCAGATTTGCCTAATTATGAAGTTCTTTTCTGCTACTAGATTAGTAGAATTTGTTATTATTAACTGCAGACTTCCTGATGGATGTAAATTTTCATATTTTTAATAGTATACAGTATTTTAGTAGTATATGAACAACTTTTAAATAGTGTATGTTTAAAATTGGTATTGGTGAACTTGTTTTGCATAATTTCCACTTTATTTTCATTTGCTTCTTTTCCATTTTACGCCTTAGAATTTAAGATCATATCGTTTCTTCAAAGGTATTAAAAATAGCATTTTGAATTTATTTTGTCTAGAATTTTACGTTTGACTTAAATGTCCTTCAAAGTTGTTTGCAAAGACAGTATAAATAAATGTTGATTAAAAAAATTCTTTAATAGATTTTCTGTGTCCATGGAGGTCTTTCGCCATCCATTCAAACACTTGACCAAATTCGCACCATTGACCGAAAACAAGAAGTTCCTCATGATGGACCAATGTGCGATTTGCTTTGGTCAGATCCAGAAGGTATAGCTTAATTTTACACCTGTATATATTTTGTAATTTTAAAATACTATTTGTAAATAGATAATTTAAGTAATTTGTAATTTAATTGTTTATTAGGATTTGTGAGATTCCTTGAAATTTCTTTCTGTTCTGAAGAGTACATTATATATTTAAATTACTGTCAAATTAATTAAAATTCTCTACTTCATTTCATGTACATCTTCTTAAGCATATTTTCTGTTAGTGATACATTCATATGTAGTATGAGCATTTTATTTTCTAGATACACAAGGCTGGGGTGTCAGCCCAAGAGGTGCTGGATATTTATTTGGAAGTGATGTTGTCGCACAGTTTAATACTGCTAATGACATTGACATGATTTGTAGGGCCCATCAGTTGGTTATGGAAGGTTATAAATGGCATTTCAATGAGACTGTTCTAACTGTTTGGTCTGCACCTAATTATTGTTATAGGTAAGTTAAAAATATAATATTTAACTTAATTTTACTTCAAAAGTTATACATAATAAGGTATCAGTTAATGCAGTGAATTCAATGTATTGCAGTTTTTTTTTTTTTAACCTCTCCAAAAGTGCTTTCATGATAACGACTCACAACTTTTTGCTGTTCCATGACCATAAGAGTGAAAATTTTGCATATGTATAGATTTAAAAATTAAGTCAATCTCCAGCAAGACATATAAAATAAAATAAAAGGATAAAAGGATTTTTAATGTATTTTTCTTATTATTTGAACAAAAATTGATAAGAATTTATAGTTTGTGAAAGTATTGAGATATGTGTCGTGTAAAATTCATTTTATGCTTTTTCCTGATTTTTTTTTAAGCATTTGATTTTTTATTCTCCTTGTAAGTGGGAAAGTATGGTGATTGTATTTACTATGCATTAAAATAATTCTTTTTAATGCTGTTTCATTTAACACTGTACTTTCTAGAAATTCATTTTGAGTGTCTTTTGATTCTGTATATCATGAATTACAGAAAAAGGAAAAAATAAAAATGAAATGGTAAAGATTTGCTCATAAAGGCTTCTTTATCAACTGTATCATTGCAAAATGAATCTGTCATATGATTTTTATATAACACTAAGGATACATGTACTTGGAAAAACTCAAGCTAAATTCTTTTACGTAGCTTCGGTTGTAAAATTTGCAAACCCACACCCTTGATGAACTGGTAAAAAACTTTAATATTCTTAATGTAGCATCCGTGTGAACTTCTTTCTTCTCTTGCTTGTTTCTGGAGTGGTAATGTCATGTCTGCCTCTTCTATTCTGTGGTATGTTACATTTCTGTGAGTATGTGAAAATCTCTTCGTGTTTTGCTTTATTGTGTTATTATTCAACAAAAGATGCTTCAGTGAAAATGATTTGTGAAAGCATCATGGAGCATCTAAAACTTTCATTACAGTATGGAAAAATTCACCATTCTTTTAAGTTAGCATTCCAAAAATTTTTCATTACATGAACATACATGTCATTATGCATACATCAATATTTATATAAATTAATGTTAAATATAATTTTGAATTCTGGAGAAATACTATTGTGTACTAGTTATGCCTATAATAAAATTAAATGAGAATTTTCAGTTTATCAGTTTGCTGCTTTTAAATGTTATTAACTTTATTATTTTAGATGTGGGAATGTTGCTGCAATTTTAGAGTTAGATGAGCATCTACAAAGAGAATTTACCATTTTTGAAGCTGCACCTCAGGTTTGTTGTTTTTATCTTTTTTATTTGAAAATATCAGTTATAGGGCAAGGCAAAAATGAGCTAGTATTTTAACCTTTTTGTTTATAGTGTGGTAGCTTTATGGATCACTAGAGAATAAATTCCTTTTGATAGGCCATAGAAATGTGTATTTTCTGTATGAACATTTATTTGTGTGCTTTTTCTGGAGCTAAACATGTTTGAAGTGAAGGGAAAGCAGATTTTAGCATCTTCCACAACTGTTGTTACAGTCAAGATTGGAGGCAAGATTTGTGGAGGCAAAATAATGACCCCGAAGAGCTCATTCTGAAGTAAAATATAGCATAGTAGCCTTAAAAGAACATTTCCTGAATTTTAAGTAGGATTCTAAAAGTCAAGTCTTGAGCTAAAATACTGTCAATGGCAGTAAAAGATTTCAGGCATATTTCAAATATTTGTGTAGCCAAAACTTTTAAAACTTTTAACCTAATTTTAAAACAATTAACAAGCAAGATTTTAAAGCAGTCTGATTTCGCGAATGTGCACTAATAGTAGTCGATGGTTTGGTGTTGTCCATCTGTGCATTAAGATAAATGCAAGTGAATTTTAAAGAAGTATGTTTTTTTCTGTTTTTTAGTACAAGGCTGCTTCATTTTTCAAAAAGAGTTTTTGATTTGTACTTTTAACACTTTACCAACGGATCGCCTATTAATCGGCTTTTTATTGGCAACGCCTATCGACCAATAGCCCATTAATCGGCTTTTTACCGCCAATGCCTAGCAACTGATCGCCTATTAATCGGCTTTTTTCGCCAACGCCTACCTACCGATAGCCTATTAATAATTTTTTTTTGGCCAACGCCTACCGACCGATATCCTATTCGGTCATTAGCCGCTTTTTTCTTGGGGGAAGCGGAAAATCACTTTTTCTTGGGGTTACCTAAAATTAGCCTATCAGTTGGTAGCCATGGCGATAAACAATTGCCATTTGCTATATCATCTGCATTTTATTATTAGTATTGAGGTACATTGCTCACTTGCATTAAGTGCATTGTTTCGTAAACTTCCACATTTTCACACCGTTTTTAAAAAATTTACCGTTCATGATGAGTGGGAAAAATGGTAGTGGAGAGTTTTATTTAGACTATTTATCAGATTGTCCTGACATTAATTCAAGACGGAGAATCTGCGGCTTGTCAAACGTGAGTATGCTGTTGAACTGCTAGCGGTCGGTAAAGCATTAAATTGATTGTCCGTATATCGCCATGCATATTATCTCTTTATATTGCAGGGGGCTTCTATGTGCATTAAAAAAAAAGTGTCATTTTCATTGTAGACGAAATAGTTTTAGCACAATATATGTTTTGTTTATTGTGATAAAATTTTTATTTTTTAGAAGAGAAATTAGGATTATTATTTAAATATTTTTTCTCTCCTATAGAAAACCCATATTCCATTAGATTTTTGTTACTAAATTGAATTTTTAGTCCAGTTTTAAATTACCCACCCGTGGTTTATTACCACCAGCTGCAAGTTTGCTGAACAGTGGTAGTTCAGATCCTGGCAGACACAGTGGCTGCATAGGAATTTTTGTGATTTTCTTCATATGTAATATAAGCCAGTTTTCGCTAAGAAGTAATGTTTAAGAATATTTCTCATCTGATACTGTAAAAACTTTATTGAATATATTTATATTATATAGTATATATAGGGTTATTCAATTATTATTATTATTTCTTCCAAACTTCAAAGGATAGAAACACGATTGTAACGTTAATGGATAGAGAAAAGTTTACAGTTATGGTATGCATTCAATAACTGTATTTTGTATGGCTTCACGTGCAGACAATGTTTTAGAACTCCCCATACTGTTGGTTGAGGAATTTTAAGTTCTTTGCTTGCTTGCGATGTGGATTTCTTTGGGCTCCTTTCGTAAAGTGTACAAATACGCTCGACATTCTCATTCGATGTGCGTGGTGTCCAGTGCTTTTCCCTTTGCAGATGCAACGATCTACGAATTTTCGATGCCATTCGTAAATTTGTTTATGACACGGTGGTTGTTTATTAAATTGACGGCGAAATGCTTGCTGAACTGCAACAATGGACTCTAGTTTTGCCAATTGTAGAACACAAAAAGACTTCTGCTGTGGTGTTGTCACCATTTCACTACAGACTACCAACCTGAACAAATAAATACTAGGAACTAACAACAGCGCCAATGCGGCCATGATTGGAACTTTTACCCGTACTAAATTTTGTACACTTTTCTCTATCCATTAACGTTAGAATCATGTTTCTATCTTTTGTAGTTTGGAAGAAATACATTTGCAATCTGCTCTCTCTTTTTGAATTTTTGTATATGTAGACCAATATTAGCATTTTTTATATCTTGTGATTTATATTTCATATATTCCTCCATCCAGAAAAAATATGTATCTGTAGGGGGGGATATGTTTAAAATACCTTGAGCCTGATCATAAAGTCTATTTTTGGCATAAATTTGTAATTAAAAACTGCATTACTTAATTCTTACAGGAAACAAGAGGAATTCCTACCAAGAAACCCCAACCAGATTACTTCTTATAAGGGTTTATTTCCTTTGCAAGTATGTCCAGCATAACCACTGGTTAGATGCTTGTACAACCTTCCATGTGTACGGGCCCATTTGTGGAGTAGCCAAGACTAGTTTTGAAACTGTGCCAGTTGGAATATGGAAATTATTTAAACATGTACAGTTGCCATGCGTAATTTCTTGGAAGTATATTTTATCTTGAGTATTAAATTGTAATTTTTTAAATGAAATGTCCTGTACATATGTCTCACATTAGTATTTCTTTTCATTCTTACTCTTGTACAATCTTTTACATGTCAATGAAGTTCAAAATAAATCTCAACTTTGTCTTATGTTGTTACTGTAATATTTTGCATTATACAAAAAGTAAGTTATGTTTAACTCAGGTTAAAAAAAGTTTAATTTTAAACATGCGTATTACAATATGCAAATTTAAAACTTGGGAGGGGGAACAGCATGTGATTGCAAAACAATGATTTTTAAAATGAGTGGTGTAATTTTTGGAATATTTCTAGGTATCTCCTCTTGTTAATAGTTCTTAATAGAAAATTTCCATAATGTTCAGTAAATAGTGAAATCCTTTTTTAGAGGGAGACTCTTGTCAAATGAAAGAATACATTGTATGACAAACTATTTTCTTTCTTTCTCAAGATTAAAATCAGGATAGTGGTTAATGACTTGACTGCCCTACCAAAGAGTCCAGGTTTGAATCCGAGAGAAAACATGCATGTTTGTAAATGTGTAGTGACTGTGCGACATGAGTGCACTCTAAATATGTGGTGAACCGAAAGTCCTATTGAGAGGTTGGTGCTAGGGAAAGGGAAGTGGGAGATCTTCACACCCATCCCACCAGGGTGCTCTTTCTCAAAACTGGAGGCAGATCTGAGCTAAAGTCGGCCTTTCATCTGTATGGTGCAGAACGCTGTTCCAGATGAGAGGTGCATTTGACTCCTTGGTAGAATGAATTTCGTGAGCGTGTGCTGACCATTGTCAGACAAGTGAGATTGGTAACAATATGAAAATTTTACTTTGTAAAATATTTTTAATAAATAAGATATCAAAGAATTAACTTGTTTCAGTTTCACATAATGTTTACTCTTGAGAATATTTTTCTCGCATCAGAAATATATGTATGGAAATTTTATAGTCACTAATGGTTGTTAATTTTTTGTACTTGGAACATTTTTAAAGTTTTAATGTAATTACAAGGACACACATCGGACTTCCTGACGATGGTTTCTGAAAACTTTCAGGGATGATCAAGCCTCATCTGAGGGATCTTCATCTAATCATTATCAAAACTGATAGTTTTATCCAAAATTTAGAACAACTGATTTTTGCCCAATTTAATTTAATTAAAATATTTAAATTTTATGTTGTCATGGTTCTTTTCCAGTTTCGTTAACCATGTATAAAGGCAACCATAAAAATGACCTTTTTTTTTTGTTAAATTTTCATATTAACTTCATTTGTTTTAGCGCGGTCTAATTTATTATATAAGTTTCCTCAGCTGTTATGATACAGCAGTCTCACTGATTTGTCACATTTTTGAATTGTTTGTGCTATTTTTTTCTTTTTCTTCTTTGCTCAACTGATATATCATTTATACCAGATCGCTGAAAACTGTTTCAGATGTATTATCTAGTATTCAAGACTTTTCATCAAGAACTTACATGGCATTATTTACATGATTGGCACATATAGTTGATCCATAATTGCAGCATCGAAATTACATGTGTGTGCAAGAAGTCTCGTATTTATTTAACCCAGTCTTATATTTTTGACATCTCTATTTGCAGTAGAATTGTCAATTAAGAGTAGAATCTTTCCCTTTTTGGTCGAAAGTTCCTCTCAGTTTCATAACTGTTATTCATTTCTGACATATTTTAAGATTTTTCAGTTATCAAAAAGCTTATGATGCTCAGTTCTATTCATATTGGACGTAATGAGAATTGTAATTTGTCCTTCTGACAGTGTTTTCCATTACTGTATCTTTAGTCTATAAATTTTAACATTTAGTTTGGCATTATCTTATACGAATCAGTTTCATTAACATTGATTGAAAGTATCTTTTTCTTTATATTGGTAATACGCATCTAAAATATTTTACTCTTCCTCATTTCTTGACTTCTAATTTTGAATCACTTTTTGAACTTTTGATAGTTTTTCCTGTAAAAGTATTCTGAATTTTCTGTAAAAATATTCCTCTTGAATCCATTTAACCAGCCATTTTAAGCCCATCCCAAAAAAGACTGTCTTTCCAAATGTGTTTAGCAAGTTCATCGACTTTCAGCTGAAACACTTATTCAGATACTGCCAGACAGTGACTTCTTTGAACAGTGAATCATTTCAGCAGTGATTCTTCAACATCCTTTCGCTCACCCTTTCTCAACTTTTCCTTCATATTCAGATTTTTTTCATGAGTAAAAATTAATGAGTCTTGTTTTTTCCTTATATTATTAATCATAAATTTAGATAAACTGAATACTCTGTATGATGCCGATTTCATCTGCAAATACAGATTTGTCTACATTCATTCCATCATTTTCGAACAGTGCTCACCTTATCTTCAGTGCAAGAACACTATGTTTACATCTTGCTGTGTGGATGAATTTTTTCCCCTCACAGAAAATTTTCATCAATGCAGAATGAAGAGAGTTATGTCAAAGAATATGCAAAATTTATAACAACTGATATAAGTTTCCATCGTTCTGAAAAAGTGAAGAAGGAAGATAATTTCATCTCTTATCTGTCCTTGTTGAACGTCCAGTAAAAAAAAAAAAAAAAAAAAAAAAAAAATTTCTTAAAAATATGTATATTTCATATAAGGAATATCCTAAATTTTATAAAAGACTTTAAGAATCTACCCCCACTCTCCATCCTGAAGAGCATTTTAAATACTAAAACAAAACACTACTTCTTTACATGTTACTTTATTATCTTCAAATATATCTTAGCTTGTTTACAAATATTACATTTTTTCTTCTGTTGATATTTTTTGTTCTTCCTGGTCTACAATCATCTTTAATGTTTGGCTTGTTCTTCATGAAAGAGGACAGCTTAGTGGAAGACTACAAAGATTTACTGCCTGATTTACTACGAATTTCATGCAATTGTGAAATACTTTGTTTGATTTATTACAGTCATAATGTCCCAGATGCTTTCCAACTCTTTCAAACGCTTGTCACTTCAAAATGCCATATACTACAGACAACTGATCATTTGCTTTTTTTTCAAAACTTCAGCTGCAGTTTACAAATGTATGCAATTCACCCTACCATTCAGGGTTACCAGGACTTAATATAAAATTTCTTATAGGTTATGTCAAAGCATATTTGTCAAAATTGGTTGGAAGATTTGTAGCAGCAACTTCAAATCTAAAACCCAACTGGTCCAACTTCAAATAAGCTTATGACAAAAAGGCAAAGAATAACTGATGAAAAGTGCAAAAGAAGGTAAAAAAGATGGAAGTACAGAAGAAAATTGTATTTATTATGTACAAGCAAGCAGAATTGCTTGTTTTTCAATCAATATGCAATATTCATGATATTTAATTATATTTGATATCCTTCATGCTTAGTTCACACTAAAGAAAATTATAGAATCATTTGTTGGTAGTTCTTTAATATACTTTAAAGAATATTAATAACACAAGCATTTGAAAATACACAATATTTTATATTAAATTTTTCTTAACATATTGAAAAATGTCCATCATTAGTAAAAGTGTAATTATCTATTTGAAATATACATTTTGTTAGAAATTTCTGAGAGAATTTTGGTACTAGTCTTTCTTTGTGTATCCGATCAACCTAATCTCTACTACTGTTGAGTTAGACCTAGCTCATGAAACTTCGCTTTTATTGCCCTAATCAGCATATTATGAAATTGATATTGGGAGTGTGGGGGGATATAATTTTATTTAATTTCCACAGTTTTTAGTACTTTCAGTGTATCTCAAAGCTGCCAAAGCAATATTTTTTTGATTTGCATTAGAAAAAACTACAGATAAGTTGAAACCGAATTTTTTCATTTAAGTACAGAAAGGTTTTCAAGTATTAGATCTCTCAAATCTTTCACATAAACATAAGACCAACACATAAAAAAGAAAAACTTTTAATTAGTATTAAAAGTTTTTGAATGAATTAAAATTTGAATTTAATGAAAAACAAATATGATAATATATTATTATTTTAAGTGACTGGGCACTTTATTTAATAGCCATTAGCCTTGTGCCACTAGCCATTTTATTATGGAAGCACCTAATAGGTGGCCACTGTTGCCTCCTATAAAGGGATGGACAGTTACAACCAAGCCTTCTCCGGGATTCGAACCCGAGGCCATCGCTACAGCAGTCGGGGTCACTAACCACAATACTGGCTGGGTGGCATATTTAAAAAAAAATGTCAATTAAAGAGTTGCAAATAAAATTTAGTAAATGAGATATGTAATTAAACTCTTGAATCTTCAGGTTCATTTTCTCAGTATAGTGAGATAAATATATTTGAGCAACAACTCAGATTTCAATCTCCAGTTAAAAATTCAACAAAAATAGCTGAATAGTTTAACAGGTAGAGAACATTGCACATTCCTTGTAAAAGTTCTAAGAAACATTGAAGATCTAGTTATAATAAATTATCTGTAATTATAAAGATGATTCAAGAATTTTTGAGAAATAGCACTAAGCCAATTATTTCAGGGAGAATGCCAGCAGATTTAATTGAATGCCATACTGAAATAATGTAGTACACAAGGTGAATTTAAAGATTCAGATAACACTGAAATTGCAACAGTGGCATTTGTTTTATAACAAACCAATTAAATTAACCTTTCTAAAATTCCGAGTTAGAAATGATATATACATCTATCTACTATTAAAAATAGAAATTTTTTCTTTTCCTCTTAAGCAATTATATGAGAGTTTCAACTAAATTTTAACATTGCAAAAAATATTTAGATTACTTAACAGAGATTTAGAGCAGCCCAATCTTTTCCTTGTTTCAACTCAGTTACATTTTTCGCCTGTTATATAGATAATATAATAATTGTCCTAAATAATTAAAAAGATAACGATTAGAATAAGAATACAAACAAAGGTTTTCTGAAAAATTGCTTATTAGATTTATGTTTTCTTATTTGTATTACTATTTTTAACACTAACAATAATTAATAAAAAAAAGTTTACAGATGCAAAACTACAGATTCTAGCTGCACAAAAGTTTGATTTTAATTAATGTGATGACTGAACTTGATATAATGATGTAACTTTTTTTAATTGGCATACAATTTCTTAATTCTTAAATCACCTTGTTTAAAAGTATTCAACCTGTCT